TACTGCTTTGACTTAAAATGTACAAAAGCAAATTATGTAACCAAGATGTGTGTACTCCTATAATATTTTGAAATTTTTTTTAAAAAGGGTTGTGAGTCCCCTGTCACTGATGTGCAGGAATGGGGGGTGGTGGGTGGTGTGAGGGGGATTTCTTAAGCTGGCAGGCTGCCCAGGAGGAGGTGGGGGAGGTGGGATGGGCAGCTCTGGCTTTGGAGGCGCTGGGCAGGGAAAAGGGACCCATCCCTGGTCTGTTTCTCCTCCTTGACCCATTTCCTGGCTCCTGCCTGCATCCCAATCATGGGGGGTCTAAGAGGTAGTTCCTGGCAACTCCCCCAGTCCCCACAGATAGAGTCACACAGCTCTATCCATCTGTCTAGCCCAGCCCCCGCAGGGGCCTCTGTAGTCAGGTCTTTGTGTCTGCACAGTGGCCCTCTTTGTTCTAAGCAGCTCCTTTGTCCTGTCCCGCCTCCCTCCTCTCCTTCTCTCTCTCCTAACTGCATTACAAAAAGCACCAGCTTTGCAGAGAGCCAGGCCAGGGCTCTGACCTTGGCTTTCCCTGTTGAGTCTCTGTGCAACCCTGAGCAAGTCACTTTGCTTCTCTGAGTCTTAGTTTTTGGATCTATGAAAAAGAGCTATTATAAAGAATCAAACTATTGGCAAGAATTGGTCTGTTACCCAGTGCTGAGACCCAAACAACAAATGATGTCCACAGGAAACTCTACCCAATCCTCAAGCTATTCCCTGGATCGCTCCTTATATTTCCAACATCCTCATCTTTCAGCCAAGTGGCTACCATTTACCCATTTGACAGTTGAGGAAATCAAGGCCTAAGAATAGGCTTTAGGGGGATGTAATCTGTATAGTTAGATAGGGCCTGTGATTTGATAGGGCCTATAGTTAGATAGGGCCAGTACTTGGTTTAATATTCTGCTGAAATTTTGAAATTATTTTTGAACAAGGGGATCACATTTTCATTTCAATTTCAAATTTTGAAATTATTTTTGAACAAGGGGATCACATTTTCATTTCAGGCCTTGGGTCCTGCCAATTATATAGCTGGTCCTGCTTGTGAGGAGGAAGAGAAGAGGCTTGTCTAGGTCTGGACTAGGCATCCTGCTTCCTTTGGGTGCTTCCTTTGGGTGCTTCCTTTGGGTGCTTGCATCCTGGGATGCTGAGAGCCAGAGCTTCCAGGCTGCATTTGGCATCAGGGTCCTGGCCCCTGCCCAGGAAACCTGAGGAACACATTTCCTGGCTGGGAGAAAGGAGGACAGCACAGGTCAATGTAATAGTCCAAGGAGCAAGTAAGAAAAAAGGCTGCTGAAACCAGCCCAGCCCTATGTAACTGGAGCCGCCAGGGTGGGTCCCAACACTGTGACCCAGCCATTACTCCAGGAACTCAATAGGGCCTTCCTTCCCAGCAGGCTGTAGTACCAAGGCCAGGAGACCCACCTCAGAATTACTGCATGACTTTGCACATTCACTTCCCCTTACTGAACCTCAGTTTCTCTATATGTAACATGCGAATAATAACACCTAACCCACATGATTCCGGTGGAGATTAAATGAGATACCTTAACACAATGACTAGCACAAAGAAAGTGATCACTAGAGTCCTTATGCATATACTCACAACACATATTCATATTGTAACAAATCTTCAGGGATGGTATTAGGTGCTGGGCATTTAACTCTGAACAGGATGCCCTTGGGCTTTGCTCTCAAAGAGATCCCCATTAGATCTCTTTGGGGAGATCGACATGGATAGTAACAATAGAGTGGTAAATAGTGGGTTACCTGGCCTGGGTCTAGGAGAGCCAGGAGCTGGGGACCAAGGGCAAAGAAGCTAGGGCCCTGCAAACAGAGGGAGAAGCAGGTGCCAGGCAGGAGGTAAATGAGAGTCGGGCACTTCCGCATGACTGGCTCACAGGCAGGGATGAGGCAGAGAGGTGGGGAGGCTGGGGAGGTAGGCTGGAGAGGTGGGTTTTATCCAAAAAGTGGTGGAGCCACCAGAGAGAGTGGGCAGGTGACAGCAGTGAGGGGCAACAGAGACATCACCCTAACCTGTGAAGGAGGGATTGGAGTCTGGGCCAGCACAGGGATTCTCAAAGCAGAAGTTTTCTCAAAGGTGATGAGAGAAGTAGAGGGAGGGAAGACGAAAAGGCTTGAGCCAGCCAAATGGAGAGACAGGAAGCCTCCTAATGCATGGAGAGGAGCCCAGGCTGGGGCTTGCCCTGCCCCTCCTGACCTGCCGCTGCTAATGGAATCCTCCTCCACCCCCATGGCTCCATTTACCCACCTCGGGGGGACCATTACTGTGCCTGGGCCTTCACCATTAGCCTGCCTTGGCTGCTTGGTCCCAGGGAGACTCTCCAATGTTATTCCACCCTTTTAGATGAGTCTCTTATGTGAGGCTTGCCATGTGACTCACTGGGCATAATTTCCTGGTTGGATCAATGGTTTAAATTCTTTTAACTGTAAAATCTTCTATATATTTGCAACCAGTTCTTACCGAGAGATATAAATAAATAAAAATATAAAAGCAATGATGCTCAAGCTGAAGCCAGGTTGGATTTGAATCCTGCTGGACATTAACAACCTCCAAAATCCAGTGACGGAAGTGCCTGGAGACCTAGACTTCTGACCCTCATTAAAGGAGACACTAATTCTTTGAACTTAGGAGGCTCAGGATGATGGGTAAAACCCTAAAAAAGAACTTAAGGCAGGCCAGCGAGAGATTATGAATTCATTTTTCAGGAAAGGAAACTGAGGCTCAGAATGATATCACAAGAGCTTAAGGACAAAGTCCTTTCTTCTGTACCTCAGGCCTCACCAAGTCTTCTGTTGAGGTAGCTGAGACAATGCATGTCTCAGGGATGCAATTTCTTTGGTCGCAAAGTAAGGGAGTTGAGCCCCCTGTAAGGTGGCGCCTTGAACAGGCCACCATCCGGGTTTGTCTGCTAAAACTAAGATTGAGCCTGGGTTCTCAGCTTGGTGCAAAAGGAATTATTTTTTTTTCTCCTGTGCTACAAAATAGCAGTGATTGTAGAAGGTTTGAAGGCTTGGAATGGGGAAAAGAAAGAGAGGGTTGGAGGGCAGAGTGTAATGTCTCATGCTTATAATCCCAGCACTCTGGGAGGCCAAAGAAGGTACATTGCTTGAGCTCAGGAATTCGAGACCAGCCTCAGCAAGAGTGAGACCCTGTCTCTAAAATAAATAGCCGGGTGTTATAGTGGGCTACTGCAGTCCCAGCTTATAGGGAAACTGAGGCAAGAGAATCACTTGAGGCCAAGAGTTTGAGGTTGCTGTGAGCTATGACGCCACAGCACTCTACCAAGGGTGACAAAGTGAGACTCTGTCTCAAAGAAAAAGAAAGAAAGGAAGGAAGGAAAGAAGGGAAGGGAAGGGAAGGGAAAGAAGGGAGAGAGAGAATCAGGTGGGATGCCAGTGCCCAAGGATCTTTCTCCACACTGGGACCCTAAAGTCTAGGTCCCACAACTTGCAGCCATGGGGATACATAAGCCCCTGGAAACTGCATAGACTAGCTTGGACAATAAGTGGAGAAGGCTGGACAAGGGGCCTTTGTGTCTCCCAAGCAAAGGTCCCAGTGGGACTGCAGAGGCAGCTCAGATATGCAGGGCTGTGTCCACTGTGTTCTTATTCTGCAAGGCTGCGGTCAGCACCCTTCTTGAACCCCTCCTGGGGCTGGCACCTAGTCAGATGATAAGAAGCCTATCGGACCCCAAGGCCTCAGTGCCTGGGAGAAGCTCCTTGGCCACAAGAAGCTTCCTCCACACCTGTCTAGCCACTGGACCATCCAAAGCACAAGGAGGACTGACAGGGGGAGGTGGAAGGATGTGATTGGCTCCATGTCACAGAAAAGAGGGCCCTGAGAGGAACTGGAACTGTGTCAAGGTCTCCCAGAGTCAATGCTGAAGCTGGGCCCAGACCTACACTTCTGACTCTGAGACCCCAAGTGAGAGAAAGAGATCACCTTGAGGAGTGAGCACCTCTCAGCAATACAAAGAAGGCTGACTTGATCCTTGCCCTCTAGTGCTCACAATCTAGGAGAGGGATAGACTACTGAAGGCCCAAGAGTGGGATTGAGGGCGGAGAAAAGAGTCAAGGCAGCTCAGAATGAGGGACCAAATGGAGCGGAGAGGCTTGGCACCTGTAGCTCAGTTGTTAGGGGGCTGGTCACATGCACCGGGGCTGGTGGGTTCGAACCCCGCCCAGGCCTGCTAAACAACAATGACAACAACAACAAAAATAGCCAGGTGATGTGGCAGGCACCTGTAGTCCCAGCTACTTGGGAGGCTGAGGCAAGAGAATCACTTAAGCCCAAGAGTTGGAGGTTGCTGTGAGCTGTGACGTCACAGCGCTCTACCGAGGGTGACATAGTGATACACTCTGTCTCAAAGACAAAAAAAAAGTGGAGATTTCAGGGATCTGCTGCTGAGATTAAAGAAGGGGAAGGGGAGTATAGAAGAGGCTTCCTCCGCCCCTGCTTCCTCCAGCGCTGGAAGGAGAGACAGGATCCAAATACCCTGCTTTCCTTCCTAGGGCAATCAGGAGGGCCCCACTCAACCCGCCCGGTCTCAAGCAAGGGTGGTGCTCTGAGCAGGTCCCTTCAAGGCCAGCGAGGCGGGGAAGAGGTGGAGTAGGCTGAGGCTGGGCGCAAATGTCCTCAGAGGGTCAAGCAGGCACCAGGCAAACCTGTAAAACTTTGGAGTCTCTGAAAACCTCTCCTCACACGAGCCCGTCTAGCGTGAGAAAGCCAGGTGGCCTCCTTCTGGCCCGGCGGCAAGACAGTCCCGGCCCCTCCCAGCGCAGCACCAGTTGCAGACGCGCTGACCCCGCGGCCGTATCGCTGGGCGGCGTCCTGGAGCGGGTGGCCAAGTGTCTGTCGGCTGTGGGGCGGTGCCAGGGTTTGTCCAGAGTCCGCCCCGCCCCTTGCCTGGCCGGGCCGCGGGGGTGGGGAGGGAGGCAAGATTGGGGCAGCGGGGCTCCCAGGCACGTGGTCCCTGCGGCATTGGGACGCGGGTGCTGGCACCCAGGAGCTGCGGCAACAGCACCCGGGGCGGAGGAGTGCCGCTCAGAGGTGAGAGGTGAGCAGCCTGGAGGGGACAAGACACCGGCAGGACACGAGCGCGGCCTGGGGACGCGGTGGGTCAGACTGGCAGGTGCCGACTCAGCGCTGATCGGGGAGAAAGCCATGGGAGAGTGGCTGTCCTGCTGGGACTCCATTCTGAGCCGGTGTGGAGCGCAGAAGTGGACTGCGTGAGCGCGCCCGTGGGTCGGTGGTTGAACTTTGTCTCCACTGCTGTGTCGATCTCGGTGAGTGTGGACGGATACCCTGGTAGTAAGTAGGTTGTGTGTGTCCGCATATTTACGAATTCTGGGTGTTAGTGGGTGAGTTCGTGCGCCCCTGAAGGGAGCATAGTTGAACTTGTGAAATCTGTCTGTGTGTATCTCTGATGTGAGCACCGCGGTGGCGGGGTGCTGTGACCCGATCCTGGAGATCGGCTGTGCCTCTGTCCTACCCCAGGGACACTGTGTGCCGCACCTGTCCTGGCCGTTAGTAAGACTGGGGAAGTAGTTGCAGGGAGAAGGTGGAAAGGAGGGGCAGTGGGGGGAAAGGACAGTTAAACCTCTGTCAGAGGACTTTTAATCTGGCAGGTGGTGCTGTAGGAAGGGAGGTGGGGAGAAAGGCGGTCCCCACAAACCCCCCTCTAGGGCAGTCATTGACAGGCTTGGGGGTCTTCCAGGAGCCCAACCCAAGGGCCAAGTCTCACTAGAAACTAGCATGTAAGTTTGGATCTCAGAGGTCTTGGCTGTTGTTTCTCTGGGCATGGCATCCCTCACTTTCCTGGGGCTACACAGCCTGATCTTGGTTTGTTTTGGATCTAGGCTGGAGTAATGAAGAGCTTTTCAGGATCAGGGTGGGGCCCCAGGGAACTTGCAGTTATCTGTGGATGGGAATGGGAGGAAGAAGATTCTTTGAAGAGACAGGATCCAACAAGATCCACAAAAGAGCTCTGGAGACTCAGAAACCTATATTCCAATCCTGCCTTGGCCACTGTGTGATCCTGGGCAAGGCATTCCTTCTCTGAGCCTCAGTGGCCTCATCTGTAAAAAGGGAATAATAAGATATGGAACTTGAGGGCAGCTGAAGTGCTGATGTGTAGGTCATGTTCAGCACCCATGTGCCACTGGGCAGGCTTACAGCTTCAGAGTGGAGGGTCAGTTCCTGGAGGGTGCCTTCCGAAACCAAAATCCCAACCATTCCTCTCCTAGGCTAAACTTTCACAGGACTTCCATAAGACCAACCCTGACTCCGACCCTTTAGCCTAGGATTTAAGACCTTTGAGAACTGATCTTTGCTGACCTTTCCAGCCACGTCTCCCATCTGACTCTTCACCCTACAGTAACTGCCTGTAGAGTCCTGTATACACTAGGCTGTTTCTTGCCTCCACCCATTGTATATTTTCTGCTTACCACCTCACATGCCCAGCTACTCTCACCTTCCTCAACTGGAGAACTACCCAGACTTGGGACCCTGGTTAGATGTCTTCTCCTCCAGAAAACCTTCCTTGATCCCCCAGCTAGGTTGGAACCTCTTCTGGGCCCTGTAGTCTTGGTGCTTACAACCCTTGTCCCACCCTAGACTGTCATGCTCTATATCTGTCTCCTCCTTTCCTCTCCATAACTCTGGGGCTCCTGCAGGGCAGAAACTGAGTTTCACTCATTTCTGTGTTGCCAGCACCCTGCACAGTGGTGAACAGAGAGAGTCACAGCAGCCCACTATCCCTGTCTCCAGCCCTCAACTTCCCCAGTAAAGGCCTGTCTGCAGTGGAGCTCTATGTGATTATGAAGAAGAGTAAACCAGAGTGTACAGGCTAAAGACTTAGATTTCATCCTGAAGGCAATAGGGAGCCATGGAGGTTTACGAGCAGAGGAGATCCATGGTCAGAGAAGCATTTCAGAAAGATCTCTCTGGCTGCAGGTAGGAATAGGTTGAATAGTGTCAAGTGCAGGAAGGTCAGGACATTTGTGATGTTGACATCAGAACCATCCAAGGCATTGTTTAAACTCTGAGTTAGCAGTGTAAACTACAGTTGGGTAATCAGGCCTGATTAATAGCCCTGCCCCTTTGACCAAACACTTTCTCCTAAGCTCTCAGATGTTCCTGCTGAGGAATTTGGGGATGCTTAGGGCTCTTCCTCTCTCAGGGGAAACCAGTAGACCTGCAATGGATCTCATCTTAACTCTGCTCTCCACTTGTTGGGTGATCATGGGATAGTTTCTGCTTTGTCAGCCTCTAAAAGGAGGCCAGAATCAGTAAGGTCTATATTTGAGACTGTGTTGGCAGGGAGGCCCTGGAACAGGCTTGTTATTCTTTCTCCTCCTCTGTCTGCCTTGGGCTATCCTAAGGTCTGGTCAGAGGTGCTGGGGGATCACAGTGGGCAATCTTCAGAAATGGCTGCCAAGCTGGGCTACAGAGTGAGGCTGTGGTTCCTCTGTTCCTGTCCCCCTCCTGTCTAGGCTATACCAGGCTCTAGGCTTCTGGGTCCCCCCCAAGAATCATCTAAGAGAGTTTTAGGCCATCACCAAGGCCTCATGAGCGATTTTTGTGTCCATAGTCCTTATTAGAACTCCCAGTATGTCTCTCTAAGCTTCCATTTTGCCATCTGTCAATTGGGAATGAGGAGCCTTGTCTCTTCAAGTGCAAAGTTGCTATGAGAATTCTTAAGAATACTGGCCAGGAAAGAGCTTTGTAAGCTTTAAAAGTTTAAAGTGCAATGCTCAAGGGAGGAGTGTGATACTCAGCGGCTTATTATAATTGCATTTTGGGGACATAATAGAACACTGGTGCAATAGCAAGAGATTGTAGTGATTATTGGAATTTAATCATTGAATGTCTTCCTTTCCCCTCTGCAGAGAAAGCTTACTAATAACAATTTACAAAAATTCCTCATTTTATCATCCAACAGCCCTTTAAGAGAGGAATTGTTATCTCCATCTTGCAGATGATGAAAGCGAGGCATAGAATATATTTTGCCCAAGGTCACTAAGCCAAGGTGAAATCAGTGGCTCCTGTCTATGGTCCCAGCATATCCTTCCCCATCCAAGACCAAAACCCCAGCAAAGTGAGGCCCAGTCCTCTGGATTCCAGGCTGAAGGAGTTTTGACTCCTGCCCCAAGAACCTGTCTTTGGGGTTTTCTTGTGGCCCTGATTACCCAATTGCTGTTAAGGTAATAACTGCCCATTGGACCAGAGACATTTTGCTGACCTTGTGAGGAGAGGGAGAGGTGCTCCTAATAAAATTTTCCTCTCCTCAAACTGCCTTCTATAGCCCTGTCTGCTATACCCTCTGGGCCATACCTTCCTCTTGGGCTACGTTTGGGTCCTGAGGCCTGGCCTCTCCCTATCACTGAGCCCTGATGTGGGAAGGCTGGCTGTGGAGGCCCACTCTCACCTCTGTACTTATCGAGGCCAGTTTCAGGATGAGGCCAGGCTATTCCTGTGTTCTCTCTCTGTTCACATCACTCAGCACAGGTTGGGCACAGAGCAGATGCCAGTGAGCATTTGGGAAAGGAATGGCCATGAAAAGGTAGGCACACAGTAGAAGAGAGGGTCTTTGCTCTATAGAGAGCCATAGTTGGTTCTTGAGCAGGGGAGTTCTATTCTATCACTCTGTCTCCGAGACCTCAGTCATTCCTGGTCCAGGATGAGTAAATGGAGTTTCTGCTGGGACAGTGGGCAACCTGGCCCTCTCCCCTATATCCTGTCCCTGTCATCGCAGCTCCCCAGAGGAGGAACCTTAGCACTGAAGCAAGGGAAAAGGGCCTTCTTGAGATTCTTCTGCCACCTGGGGAGAGCCTCCTGGTGTTGATGTGGCTTCCTAGTAAGTACCCCAGCTTGCAGGAGAATTCTTGCCATGGCTGGGCTATGGGCAGGGAAGGATGCTCCCCCTCTTGCAGGAAATCTAGGGCCAAGGGACATACTTCTGTCACTGCCCTGTTGTACGTATAGTCTCCTCCTTGGTCTCTCTCTTTCCAGACTCCCTAGGACCACATACCTTCCATGTGGCACCATCTGTGTAAAGGTCAACTCTGACCATGTTCTTCCCTTTTAAGCCCTGCCATGGCTCCTTGTTTTCCTCAGAATAGAGGCCAAACTCCTTAGTCTGGCATTTGAGCCTTTTCATGTGAATTCCTCAGGCCCCCACACATTCTATGCCACCTAATCCTCCACACCAGCTACACATGTTCTCCTGGCCTTTCCCCAACAGGCCACACTCTCACACCACCAAGTGTTTACACATTCCTCTCCTGCCTTTGGTGCTTTCCTACCCCTTTTTCTTTTCTTTCTTTTGAGACAGAGTCTCACTCTATCACCCTGGGTAGAGTGCCATGGTGTGATCATAGCTATCAGCAACCTCAAACTCTTGGGCTCAAGTGATCCTCTTGCTTCAGCCTCCCAAGTAGCTGGGACTACATGCACACACCACCTTAGCCATCTAGTTTTTCTGTTTTTAGTAGAGATGGGGTCTTGCTCTTGCTCAGGGTGGTCTTGAACTCCTTAGCTCAAGCTGTCCACCCACCTTGGCCTCCCAGAGTGTTTGGATTATAGGTGTGAGCTACCGTGCCTGGCTTCACCTACCCCTTTTTCTACCTGATAAATTCCTAATCATTTATTAAATCCCAGCGCAATGACCCCTTCTCTGGGAAGTTCTCCCTTCCCACCTCCCCCAGGCCAGGTAGAAGCTGCTCTGGGCTCTGTGGCTCCTAAGCTTCCCTTGGTCATGGTTTAAATCACCCAAATGAACTTGGTCCATGTCTGCATCTTTCTCCCTGCCCAGATCGGGCACTCCTCAAGGGCCTAACACTGTGGTCTGAATCCAGGTTCACAGAGTTCCTCTGAGACTGGGCACACAAGGGCATTAACAAGTGTCTGCTAGGACTTTGTGGCTCCTGGGAATGTAATTTATGATTGCATTACTCCAGACTCTGTGGTTCTGAAAATCTCAAAACCAAAGGCTACCAGGAGCAACAAGTGACAGAATTAAAAAAACAATTAGCAGTCACTCCTGGAACCAGAGACTTTTGGAACTGGACTCTCAGAACCAGTGAACTCAGAATCCTGGATGTGCTCACAGTCTCCCCCCTCCCAGCTCTAAGCATTCCCCTACCAGGCGCTCAAAACACACACGCCACACCCAAACATACAGGCACAGACACCAAGACACACAGATATACAGAGGCACACAGAGCCACACTCAGACATACATGCAGTGGTCACAGAGTCCAGGCCTGGAGCAGCCTCCAGAAATCACCTGTGCCAAACCCCCTTTCACA